TATTCTATTTGCCTATGGGGACTTCTATGCAAATAGAATATAGATATGCATACACACACTTCTCCTATGTTCTCCAAGCCAACCATTTAATAGAGCATCACTTCTGGGTAGGTGGGCATTGCAGTGTTCTCCCTTAAAGTCTAATATGCTAATGAATATTGATCTAAATTTTAGTAATTTCTTATTTTCATATCATTTCATATCATACTATACCGCTTAGACTATTACCACAATGGGTTGGCTGTAATTTTTACATCTAGAAGGCCATTAGCATGGAGAAAATTATTTTAGAAACTCCAGTGGGATCTGCAGAGGCACCAATTCAAGCTGATACTTAGGATACAACCTTGCATTTTTCGAGTTAAAAATTAAACAATGCCCTTTTTATAAACGGAAAGCAGCAAATATATTAGGGTGACTATTTCTGGACTGTTTCTTGTTTGGCTCTGCTTCTTTCCTTCTGATACAGCATGTGCATTGAAATCCCACAGACTCAAGGGGTACAGTCCAGCCTACTTGATTTTTCTGTCACACATACAGATTTAGCTGTATCATATATAGTAAATAGTGCACTCAGTTTGATGAGGGCCACCTTTATGTATCTAGAATGGCCGATTCCAAGCCCAAGTATTACTAAATCCCACAATTTACAAAACACAAAACTGGAAGGGAAGAACTAAACCAGCCACGCTAGAATTGAGCAGGCTTAGTCACAGAATTCTGCCTGACTCTTGAGGGGGATGAAAACAGAAAACTGTAAGGGAGGGAAAATAAAACAGAATCCCAAACGGGAGCAGTTCATACTGTACTGTTTTCTTCCAAGTTTCACATCTTCCACCATACTGATGGAGCAATGCTAGTAGCTGAGATTAAAAGAATGGAACAGGAGACAGCACATGACCAACCTTCATCATCTGTTAGAGATGTGCTTGCCTTCCTCTTTCTTCTAGAGGACCATGAACCCTACAAAAGGAATATATAAATATTGCACATCTGTCTTAAAAGTGTTCTCCCTACCCCTTTCATCAAATGCATGATTTCCTGTTAATTTTATTTATTTTATTTATTCAATTGCTATGGCCACCCATCTCAAACAAGTGACTTTGGATGGCGAATGATCATAAAATCAAGTACAAAGACAATATGAAAATAAATATATGTAGCAGCTGAGAAAAACTATAACCAGAGATGTTAATGTAACCAGGAAACGGGGCCCTTAACACATTCGGGGCCCCAGGCCCAGGCACATAACCAGGTCTTCAAGGCCTTACGAAAGGCCAGTAGGGTTGGGGCCATCCTAATCTCTGGAGGGAGAATGTTCCAGAGGGCAGGGGTTATGGCAGAGAAGTCATGCCTCCTAGTCCCTGCCACATGACATTCCTTGGCTGACAGGACCCGGACTGGATTGGACAGGTAGAAACAACTGGGAAAAGATGGTCCTTCAGGTAACCTGGTCTCAAGCCATGAAGGGCTTTAAAGGTGACCGCCAACAGCTTGAATTGCACCCAGAAACATACTGGCAACCACTGCAGCTCATGAAGTAGTGGTGTTACATGTGTCAAATATCCAACATCATTTACGACCATTGCAGCTGCATTCTGCTCCAGCTGAAGCTTCTGAATGCTCTTCAAGGGCGGCCCCATGTAGAGCACTTTGCAGTCATCCAGATGGATTCATTTCCTCAAAGGAGAAACAGAACAGGGCCAATAGCCCTAGGATTGTGCAGAAGATGGGAAAGGACTACCAGGGTCCATGAAAAGTATCTGCCAACCAGAGCAGACATTACCGAAAGAGATCGACATATAGGCTAGCCTGGTGTAAAGCAGGTTCCTTCCTCAAATGTTATCAGTGGAAGCCAACAAAGAATGGCTTTGTATTATACACCAGGCTGCCCAGTACAGCTCCCCAACTTTCCACTATATTCCTTATATGTGAGAAATATTCCTTATACGTGAGAAAGCTATCTACTGGCAGGACTTCCTGAGAAACTATATTTCTAATAATAGAAAAACATACAATACATCCAGAATTACCAACATGGAGATGGGAAGAAGAGTCCCTTACCAAACTGTTTTCTTTTTCCAGAAGAATATCCTCTAAATGTCTTGTATCTTTACCTGCAAAATGGTTAGCTTTTATGCACCTTCTAAGTCACTCAACCATGTATGTTAGCCTAGCATCCAAATTCAGCCAGAAGCAAGAAAATAAACCCAGTGAAAAGTTAACGTTACATATTCCCACACAGTAAACAGGCTTGGACAAAGGTTTTGGAGAGGCCAGAAGAGACAGAATAACTGTTTGCAATGATAGATAATATGACAGCACACAGCCTGGGTATCACAGATGTCAAATACAAGTTCCAGATTATAACAGTTTTTTTCTTGGTTCATGTGAAATGAAGTTAAAGGTCCAATTCAGAGTTTGCAGCAACTCATGACTGAGCATTATATGAACATTTTTGGACATACACAGTCCCATCTTCATTTGATTATTGCAATCTACCGCCTACAAACAATGGCTGGGCATTACATGCAACCACAGTGGCTAAATAGTTGCTCTTGACACAATCAAAATGGTGGAGTCTTTTGTTATGAAGCCAGCTTGAAAGCCACCCAATAGCTTTCTGAAAATCAATTTGAACTCATTAGTTCAGAACATAGCATGGGGACCAGGCATTTTAAGCACAGTACATTAGTGTTTGCTCATTGCACTAATTCTTAACAGGTTTCAGGCTGAGTTTAAAAAATGAAACCCAAAGAGTCTAGCTCCCCTTTTAGAATCATACCCAATAATTAATGAAATACTTAAATTAGCCTAGAAATTAAATAATAATAAGCTAGGATGAAGGGACACCAGGAACATTTCAGCCCAGCAGAATCTGACGATTTTAAAAGAGTTGTTTTAAAAGACATTGTAACTCTGAGCAAGAATGGGTTTCCTCGTCTGTAATATTGCCACCTCATTTGCAGCAAAAGACAGCAGCCAGAAAAACTACCTTTCCTTGAACGTCTCTTTAAATTTAATGCTTTCCTCCTTTTCTCCTGAAATTCAATCTGCAGCTTTATTTCTACCACCTAAAAGACAGACCAGAAAGACATTTATAGCCTCACTTATTCATCATGATGATTATAACATTCGCTTTACGTGGCCTACGTGGCACAAGGACAAGCCTGCGAGGGAGACTGAATAGAGTGGTCCTAGGCAGAGGCACCCGGGTGAGAGGTATGTGTGTGGAGAGGAGCTTTATTCACCTTAGAAAGAATCTCCTAATGAGAGGAGGGGATAGTCCCAAACCCAGGTAACCTATGTTCTGTTTTTCACCATTCTCAGCGAAATTTAGCCCCGTTATCACTGTGTCTGCCTAGGGTACACTGACAATGCCTAATGAGGGAAGACAACATGTCCCTGAGTAGATACAGACTGATTTTCCCTTACTGCTGAACAAGGGAACTGCAATAGCTTGGTGTGAAATGCCTCTTAGTCAAAACTCACAGCAACCGTCGGACCCACACACCAGAGAAACTGAGAATTTGAATGTCAAAGCTACGTGCAGTTTTCTGGACTGACACGGACAGACAGGGGCATCACAAAATGTGAGCTGCTGTTTAACCCTCCTTAGGAGCCAAATTCATCCAGGTCAACAGAATATCGTCCCGGGGAATGTTTTTTTCCAGCTCAAGCGTGTCAAAACCGACTGGCGAAGAAAGAGAAGTATTACCTGTTCAATATTAGACCAGAAATATTCTATTTGTCTGGCAATTGTAGCAGCAATGCGCCTTAGCTTGGTCCTCTCCTCCTTCTTGGCCCTCACTGTGTTGAGGTGCTTCTCTTCATGGTAGCGGGCCACTGTCCTGACCATCTAATAAAAAATTTGAAAAGACAGTTCACTAGACAGTGGGGTCTTCTGCCCAATTTATTACAGCTCTGGTTTTTACAGCTACTTTTTCCCTATGAAAAAGCCAGCTACTTTGTGCAATTCATGAAGACAAGAGTTCCTAATTATCTAACTTTTAGGAAGCTCCCATATATAATAGATTTATCAAACCCCGAACTGTCTACTGCAGCTTCCTTCAGACCAGCACCTTCCAGCTGCCTGAACTTTAATTCCCAGAATTCCGCAGCTCCCATGACCGTTGCTAGCTAAGGGATTCTGGGAATTGCAATAGCAATATATCTAAAAGTATCAGGTTGGGAAAGCTTGTTTATTCTTAGTCATGTATCTTCAAATCCACTATGCTACTTGAAGGGAGGAGTCAAAAGTTTTGTAATGGGAGCATTCCCCCATCAATAAACATTTTTCCAAACTTTTAGGGATTAGCGTAGACCAGCTCCATCATTTTAAGCCCTACTTTTCCTTCTCCCCAAGGATATTATCCCATCACATCAGTAGTTAAGGTATACAAGGATAAAAGAGGCGTCTTTACAAATTTAGAAAACCTATAAAGATATATATCTTCTCATAAAGCTTTTAAACTATTACCAGTATTTAGTTTTAAAATATTAAGCTGAATACTAATACTTGTTTTGCGTTCGTTCTCTTGACTATTCGCCTGAACAGAAAAACTGGGAATAAACTGAATAAAGTTTGTTTATTTATGTATATATTTATATATTATTATTTTTTTATGAGTCACCCACTGGGGGAGAT